TACATGACAAACTTCATGAAAATTAACGATATAACTCTGTGTGAGAATCTATAAGCCTATGTTCATGAAAACTAATGATACAACACTGTATCAGAGACTACATGAAAAACTTATTGAAAATTAATGATACAACAATATGTGAGAATCTATAAGGGTAACATAGTGAAAACAAACAATACAACACTTTGTGAGAAACTACATGCATAACTTCTTGAAAACTAATGGTACAACACTGTTTGAGAAACTACATGCGTAACTTCTTGAAAACTAATCATAAAACACTGTGTAAGAACCTATATGCTTTACTTCATGAAAACTAATGATACAACACTGTGTGAAAAACTACACGCATAACTTGGTGAATACTAATGATACAACACTGTGTGAGAAACTATGTGCTTAACTGCTTGAACACAAATTATACAACACTGTGTTAGATATTACATGTGTAATGTCTTGAAAACTAGTGATGCAACACTGTGTGAGAAACTACATATGTAACTTCTTTAAAACTAACGATACAAACTGCTTGAAAAACTAATGCATAACTTCTTCAAAACTTGCAATACAACACTATGTTAGAATGTGTACCCATAAATTCTTGATACTAACGATACAAAACTGTGTGAAACTACATTATTAACTTCTTGAAAACTAACTATACAACACTGTGTAAGAAACTACCCGCATAATTCCTTGAAAACTAATGATACAACACTGTGAGAAACAATATGCTTAACATCTTGAAAACTAACGATAAAAAACTCTGTGAGAAACTACATATGGAATTTCTTTAAAACTAACAATACAACACTGTGTGTGAAACTAGGTGCTTAACATCTTGAAAACTAACGACACAAAACTGTGTGAGAAAATAAGTGCTTACCTTCTTAAAACCTAACAATGTAAGACTAAGTGAGAAACTTCATATGTAACTTCTTTAAAACTAAGGACACAAAAATGTGGATGAAGCTACGTGCTTAACTTCTTGAAAAATTTCTCGCTGTGTGAGCAACTACATGCTTAACCTCTTGAAAACTAAGGATACAACACTGTTTGAAAACTACATGTGTAACTTCTTGAAAACTAATGATACAACACTGTATGAGAACCTACACTCATAACTTGGTGAAAACTAACGATACAACACTGTGCGAGAAACTACATGCTTAACTGCTGAAAACTAACGATACAACACTGTGTTAGAAACTACATGTGCAATGTCTTGAAAACTAATGATACCACACTGTGTGAGAAACTACACACATAACTTGGTGAAAACTAATGATACAACACTGTGTGAGAAACTACATATGTAACTTCTTTCAAACTAAAGATACAACACTGTGTGAGAAACTACATATGTAACTTCTTTCAAACTAAAGATACAACACTGCGTGAGAAACTACATGCATAACTTCTTGAAAACTAGCAATACATCACTATGTTAAAATGTGTACCAGTAACTTCTTGAAAACTAATGTACAACACTGTGTGAAACTACGTTATTAACTTGTTGAAAACTAACTATACACCACTGTGTGAGAATCTACATGATTAGATACAACACTGTGTTAGACACTACATGCATAATTTCTTGAAAACTAATGATACAACACTGTTTGAGAAACTACATGCTTAACTACTTGAAAACTAATGATACAACACTGTGGGAGAAACTACACGCATAACTTCATGAAAACTAACGATACAACACTGTGTGAGAAACTACACGCATAACGTGGTGAATACTAATGATACAACACTGTGTGAATAACTACATACTTATCTTCTTGAAAACTAATGATACAAAACTTGTGAAAAACTACATGCAATACTTCGTGAAAACTAGCAATACAACAGTGTGTGAAAAATACATATGTAACTTTTTTAAAATTAACGACACAGAATGTGTGAGAAACTACATGCATAACTTCGTGAAAACTAATGATACAACACTGTGAGAAACAATGTGTTTAACATCTTGTAAACTAACGATAAAAAACTGTGAGAAACTACGTGCTTAATTGCTGAAAACTAATGATACAACAATGTGTTAGAAACTACATGTGTTATGTCTTGAAAACTAATGATACAACAATGTGTGAGAATCCACATATGTAACTTTTTTTAAACTAAAGATAAAACACTGCGTGAGAAACTACATGCATAACTTCTTGAAAACTAGCAATACATCACTATGTTAAAATGTGTACCAGTAACTTCTTGAAAACTAATGTACAACACTGTGTGAAACTACGTTATTAACTTGTTGAAAACTAACTATACACCACTGTGTGAGAATCTACATGATTAGATACAACACTGTGTTAGACACTACATGCATAATTTCTTGAAAACTAATGATACAACACTGTTTGAGAAACTACATGCTTAACTACTTGAAAACTAATGATACAACACTGTGGGAGAAACTACACGCATAACTTCATGAAAACTAACGATACAACACTGTGTGAGAAACTACACGCATAACGTGGTGAATACTAATGATACAACACTGTGTGAATAACTACATACTTATCTTCTTGAAAACTAATGATACAAAACTTGTGAAAAACTACATGCAATACTTCGTGAAAACTAGCAATACAACAGTGTGTGAAAAATACATATGTAACTTTTTTAAAATTAACGACACAGAATGTGTGAGAAACTACATGCATAACTTCGTGAAAACTAATGATACAACACTGTGAGAAACAATGTGTTTAACATCTTGTAAACTAACGATAAAAAACTGTGAGAAACTACATGCTTAATTGCTGAAAACTAATGATACAACAATGTGTTAGAAACTACATGTGTAATGTCTTGAAAACTAATGATACAACAATGTGTGAGAATCCACATATGTAACTTTTTTTAAACTAAAGATAAAACACTGCGTGTGAAACTACATGCATAACTTCTTCAAAACTAGCAATACATCACTATGTTAAAATGTGTACCAGTAACTTCTTGAAAACTAATGTACAACACTGTGTGAAACTACGTTATTAACTTATTGAAAACTAACTATACACCACTGTGTGAGAAACTACATGCTTAACTACTTGACAACTAAGGGTACAACACTATTTGAGAAACTACATGCATAACTTCTTGAAAACTAATGATACAACACTGTGTAAGAAACTACATGCTTTACTTCTTGAAAACTAATGATACAACACTGTGTGAGAAACTACATGCATAACTTGGTGAATACTAATGATATAACACTGTGTGAGAAACTACCTGCTTAGCTGCTTGAAAAGTAACGATACAACACTGTGTTAGAAATTACATGTGTAGTGTCTTGAAAACTAGTGATACAACACTGTGTGAGAAACTACACATGTAAATTCTTTCAAACTAATGATACAACACTGTTTGAGAAACTACACGCATAACTTCTTCAAAACTTGCAATACAACACTATGTTAGAATGTGCACTCGTAACTTCTTGAAAACTAACGATACAACACTGTTTTAGGAACTACATTTATAACGTCTTGAAAACTAACTATACAACACTGTGTGAGAAACTACATGCTTAACTCCTTGAAAACAAACGACATAAAACTGTGAGAAAATAAGTGTTTAACTTCTTAAAAGCAAATGATAAAAGACTAAGTGAGAAACTACATATATAACTTCTTTAAATCTAACGATACAACAATGTGTGTGAAGCTACATGCTTAACTTCTTGAAAAATTTCTCACTGTGTGAGAAACTATGTGCTTAACCTCTTGGAAACTAAGGATACAACACTGAAAACTACATGCGTAACTTCTTGAAAACTAATGATACAACACTCTGTGAGAAACTACATGCTTAACTTCTTGAAAACTAATGATATAACACTGTGTGAGAAACTACATGCATAACTCCTTTAAAACTAGCAATACATCACTATGTTAGTATGTGTACCTGTAACTTCTTGAAAACTAACGTACAACACTGTGTGAAACTACTTTATTAACTTCTTGATAACTAACTATACAATACTATGAGAAACTACATGCTTAAATTCTTGAAAACTAATGATACAACACTGTGTTAGACACTACATGCGTAACTTCTTGAAAACTAATGATACAACACTGTGTGTGAAAATAAGTGCTTAACTTCTTAAAATATAACGATATAAGACTAAGTAAGAAACTACATATGTATCTTCTTTAAAACTAATGATACAAAATTGTGTGTGAATCTACGTGCTTAACTTTTTGAAAAGATTCTCACTGTGTGAGAACTACGTGCTTAACCTCTTGAAAACTAAGGATACAACATTGTGTGAGAAACTCCATGCTTAACTTCTTGAAAACTAAGGGTAGAACACTGTGTTAGAGACTACATGCGTAGCTTCTTGAAAACTAATGATATAACACTGTGTGAGAAACTGCATGCTTAACTTCTTGAAAACTAAGTGTAGAACACTGTGTGAGAAACTACATGCGTAACTTCTTGAAAACTAACGATACAACACTGTGTTAGAAACTATATATGTAATGTCTTGAAAACTAATGCCACCACACTGTGTGAGAAACTACACACATAACTTGGTAAAAACTAATGATACAACACTGTGTGAGAAACTACGTGCTTAACTGCTTGAACACTAATGATACAACACTGTGTTAGATATTACATATGTAATGTCTTGAAAACTAGTGATAAACTATGTGAGAAACTACATATGGAATTTCTTTAAAACTAACAATACAACACTGTGTGTGAAACTATGTGGTAACATCTTGAAAACTAACGACACAAAACTGTGTGAGAAAATAAGTGCTTAACTTCTTAAAAACTAAACTCCATATGTAACTTCTTTAAAACTAATGATACAACAATGTGGGTGAAGCTACGTGCTTAACTTCTTGAAAAATTTCTCGCTGTGTGAGCAACTACATGCTTAACCTCTTGAAAACAAAGGATACAACACTGTTTGAAAACTACATGTGCTGCTGCCCCTTGCCCTGACTGAGGAGTCGGCACGGCTGTCCCGAGCGCCACGTGGGGTTCCTCCAGTGTCGCCGCCATGAAGAAGGTGGTTCATCAGCTCCTGCTGGTGGCCAGGCTCAACCACGTGAAGGTTTCCCAGGCAGCTGCAGACTTGAAACAGTTCTGTCTGCAGAATGCCCAACATGACCCTTTGCTGACCGGAGTGTCTTCAAGTACAAATCCGTACAGACCCCAGAAAGACTGCTCCTTTTTGTATTCAAGTATCTAAAGTTTTCTCAAACCACTTTTCATGAACCCGTGACTATTCAAGGGAACGAAACCTGAAGTCTGTACAAAAGCTCTGTAACACGTGCCTTAATACACAATCTTCTACTTGTCAGTTCTTAACATCTGCCTCTCTGAATTTCCATGGATTTCTGTTTCACAAGGTTGACTATTTTATACACACTGGCTGTAGAATACAATAAAACAGCATACAAAAAAAATTATATGCGTAACTTTTTGAAAACTAATGATACAACACTGTGTGAGAACCTAGACACATAACTTGGTGAAAACTAACAATACAACACTGTGTGAGAAACTACGTGCTTAACTGCTGAAAACTAACATGCTTATTTACTTGAAAACTAATGATACAACACTGTGTGAGAAAATAAGTGCTTAACTTCTTAAAATATAACCATACAAGACTAAGTGAGAAACTACATATGTAACTTCTTTAAAATAGCGTTACAACACTGTGTGTGAAACTACATATGTAACTTCTTTAAAACTAATGATACAACATTGTGTGTGAAGCTACGTGCTTAACTTTTTGAAAAGATTCTCACTGTGTGAGAAACTACGCGCTTAACCTCTTGTAAACTAAGGATACAACACTGTGTGAGAAACTACATATTTATCTTCTTGAAAACTAATGATACAAGATTGTGTGAGAAACTACATGCTTAACTTCTTAAAATCTAACGATACAACACTGTGTGAGAAACCACATATGTAACTTATTTAAAACTAACGATACAAACCTGTGTGTGAAACTATGTGCTTAACTTCTTGAAAACTAATGATGCAACACTATGTGAGAAACTATATGCATAACTTCTTGAAAAGTAACGATACAACACTGTGTGAGAAAATACATGCTTAATTTCTTGAAAACTATAGTTACAACACTATGTGAGAAACTACATGCTTAACTTGTTGAAAGCTAATGATACAACACTATATGAGAAACTACTTTCTTAACTTCTTAAACTAATGATACAATACTGCATGAGAAACTACATGCGTAAGTTCTTCAAAACTAACCATACAACACTATGTGAGAATGTATATGTGTAACTTCTTGAAAACTAACTATACAACATATTTTGGGAAATGGCAAGTGTAAGTTCTTTAAAAATAATGATAAAAAACTGTGTGAGAAACCACATGTGTAACTTCTTAAAACTAAGGATACAACACTGTGTGGGAAACTATGTTATGAACTTCTTCTTTATTAACTTCTTGAAAACTAAAGATACAACACTGTGTGAGAAACTACATTCTTCAGTTCTTGAAAACTAACAATACAACACTGTGTTAGAAACTACATGCTTAACGCCTTGAAAACTAATGATACAACACTGTGTGAGAATCTCTAAGCTTATGTTGATGAAAACAAACGATACAACACTGTATCAGAGACTACATGCAAAACTCAATGAAAATTAATAATACAACATTCTGTGAGAATCTATAAGCGTAATGTAGTGAAAACTAACAATACATCACTGCGTGAGAAACTACATGCATAGCCTCTTTAAAACCAATGATACAACATTGCATGAGAAACTACAAGCGTATCTACTTTAAAACTAACTGTACTTCACTATGTGAGAATGTATTTTCGTAACTTCTTGAAAACTAATGGTACAACATATTGTGATAACTGCAAGCATAACTTCTTTAAAAATTACGATAAAAAACTATGTGAGAAACTACATTATTAATTTCTTGAAAACTAAAGATACAACCCTGTGTGAGAAGCTACATAAGTAACTTATTTAAAACTAACGATATAACACTGTGTAAGAAAGTACATGCTTAATTTCCTGAAACTAATGATACAACTCTGTGTGAGAAAATGCAAGTGTAACTTCTTTAAAACTAACAAAACAATACGGTGTGAGTAACTACATGCGTAACTTTTGGAAAACTAACTATAAAACACAGTATGAGAAACTACATGTGTACCGTTTTTAAAACGAACTATAAAACACTGTGAGAAACTACGTGCTTATCTTCTTGAAAACTAACGATACAACACTGTGTGAGTATCTCCATGCGTAACTTCTACAAAACTAACGATACAACACTATGTGAAAATGTATAAGCATAACTATGTGAAAACTAACCATACAACACTGGTGAGAAAGTACTTGCATAACTTCGTGAAAACTAAGGATACAACACTGTGTGAGAAACTACATATGTAACTTATTTAAACTTAACAATGTAACACTGTGTGAGAAACTACATGCTTAACTTCCTGAAAACTAACAATTCAACACTGTGAGAGAATCTGCAAGTGTAACTTCTTTAAATCTAATGAAACAACACTGTGTGAGAAACTACAAGCATAACTTCTTCCAAAGTAACGATACAACAATATGTTAGAATGTATAAGCTTAACTTCCTGAACTAATGATACAACTCCGTGTGAGAAAATACAAGCATTACTACTTTAAACCAAAGGAAACAACACTGTGTGAGAAACTATATGCATAACTTCTTCAAAAGTACTGATACAAAAATATGTGAGAATTCATAAGCGTAACTTTGTGAGAACTAATGATACAGCACTGTGTGAGAAACTACATGGGTAACTTATTGAAAAGTAAGTATAAAACACTGTGTGAGAAACTACATGCATGACTTCATGAAAAATAACGACACAACTGTGTGTGAGAAACTGCATACGTAACTTCGTTAAAACTAACCACACAACACTGTGTGAGAAACCATATGGATAACTACATGAAAACTAATGATACAACATTGTGGAAGAAACTGCAAGCTTATCGTCTTTATAATTAATGATATAACCCTGTGTGAGAAACTACATGGGTAACATATTTTATAGTAAGTATCAAACACTGTGTGATAAACCACATCATGCATGACTTCGTGAAAAGTAATGAAACAACACTGTGTGAGAAACTATATGCTTAACTTAATGAAAACTAATGAAATAACACTGTGTGAGAAACTACATGCATAACTTTGTGAAAAATAACGATACAACTGTGTGTGAGAAACTACGTTCTTAACTTCTTGAAAACTAATGATACAACACTGTGTGAGAAACTAGGTTCTTCTTGAAACCTGTGTGAGAAACTACGTGCTTAATAACTTGAATACTAATGATACAACACTGTGTGAGAAAGTACATGCATAACTTCGTGAAAAAAATGATACAACACGGTGGGAGAATCTACGTGTGCAACTTTGTGAAAACTAATGATACAACACTGTGTGAGAAAATACATATGTAATTATTTACACTTAACAATATAACACTGTGTGAGAAACTACATGCTTAACTTAACACTGTGCGAGAAACTACATGCCTTACTTTTTAAAATTAACGATACAACACTGTGTGAGAAAGGACATGCTTAAATTCTTTAAAACTAACGAAACAACACTTTGTGAGAAACTACATGCAAAATTCATGAAAAATAACGATACAACAATGTGTGAGAAACCACATGATTAAATTCATGAAATCTAACGATACAACACTGTGTGAGAAACTACATACATAACTTCATGAAAAATAACGTTACAACACTTTGTGAGAAACTACATACATAAATTTTTAAAACAAATGATAAAACACTGTGTGATAAACTATGTGTGTAACTACTTGAAAATAAATGATAGAACACTGTGTGAGAAACTAAATACGTAATTTAGTTAAGACTAACGATACAATACTGAGTGAGATACTATGTGCTTAACTTCGTGAAAACTAATGATACAACACTGTGTGAGAAACTACATGCTTAACTTCTTGAACACTACAAATACAACACTGTGTGAGAAACTACAAACATAGCTTCTTTAAATCTTACGATACAGCATGTATGAGAAACTACGTGCTTGCATTCTTGAAAACTAATGATACAACTCTTTGTGAGAAACTACATAAGTAACTTCTTTAAATTTAACAATACAACAGTGCATGAGAAACTACATGCTTAACTTCTTGAAAACTAATGACACAACATTATGAGAGAAACTGCATGTATAACTTGTTTAAAACTAACGATACAACACTGTGTGAGAAAGTACATGCATAACTTCATGAAAAAAATGATACAACACTGTGGGAGAATCTATGTCTGTAACTTCAAGTAAACTAACAATACTACACTGTGTGAGAAACTACATTTGTAACTCATTTATACTTAACAATATAACACTGTGTGAGAAACTACATGCTTAACTGCCTGAAAACTAACAATACAACACTGTGAGAGAAACTGAAAGTGTAACTTCTTTAAATCTATCGAAACAACATTGTGCGTGAAACTACATGCCTTACTTATTGAAAACTAAAGATACAACACTGTGTGAGAAACTACATGCTTAACTTCTTCAAAAGTAACAATGCAACAATATATGAGAATGTATAAGCATAACTTCGTGAAAACTAAGAATAAAACACTGTGTGAGAAACTACTTGCTAAACTTCGTGAAAACTAATGATACAACACTGTGTGAGAAACTACATGCTTAACTTCTTGAAAACTACCGATACAACACTGTGTGAGAATCTACATGCATAACTTTTTGAAAACTAATGATACAACACTGTGTGAGAAACGGCAAGCATAACTTCTTGAAAACTAAGGATACAACACTGCATGAGAAAGTACATGTTTAACTTCTTAAAAGCTAATGTTGCAACACTGTGTGAGAAACTACATGCTTAACTTCTTGAAAACTACCGATACAACACTGTGTGAGAAACTACATGCATAACTTTTTGAAAACTAATGATACAACACTGTGTGAGAAATGGCAAGCATAACTTCTTGAAAACTAAGGATACAACACTGCATGAGAAAGTACGTGTTTAACTTCTTAAAAGCTAACGATGCAACACTGTGTGAGAAACTACATGCTTAACTTCTTCGAAAGTAACAATACAACAATATATGAGAATGTATAAGCGTAAATTGGTGAAAACTAAGAATACAACACTGTGTGAGAAACTACGTGCTTAACTTAATGAAAATTAATGATACAACACTGTGTGAGAAACTGCAAGTGTAATTTCTTAAAACTATAAAACACTGTGTGAGAAACTGCAAGTGTAACTTCTTAAAAACTAACGATGCAACACTGTGTGAGAAACTACATGCTTAACTTCTTGAAAACTAAGTATAAAACACTGTGTGAGAAACTGCAAGTGTAACTTCT